GGAGTGAATGGGGAGGAGGAAACATGTGTAAATCTTAAACACAATTTCCACAACTAAGGAATGTACTGTGTCTTTAGGAAGAGAAATCAATTTTTCTAAATGGCAGCCTACAACAACTAATGTTTAAAATTTGTAAAATCCTGAGTATATAAATATCAGAGAAGACTTCAGTAACAAGAAGTCACAAAACTCAAAGAAGAACCAGGCCAGGGTAATACAAGACACTATTAGAAATTGCATAGAGTAAGCATCTGTTCTAGTTTGCCTTTAAGCCACTGCTGTGGTAAAACACTGACGAGAAACAACTGGGGGGAACAAAGGGTTTATTTCAGCTCATGGGTCACAGTCCATTATCAAGGGAAACTAGAGAAGGAATTGAAACCTGGAGGCAGAACTGGCATAGAGACCACAGAGGGAATCTGCTTACTGCCTTGCTTTCCATGACTTGCTCAGACTATCTTATACATCCCAGGTTCACCTGACCAGTGTGGTACCACCCACAGAGGGCTAGGGCTTCCCACATCAATAAAAGGCTCTACAGTATAAAAATGCAGTAAGAAGGTAGCTGAAAGCAGAACACTAGTGCTTGCTTGTTTGTTTTGTTTCCTTGTTCAAAACAACCTCTTAAAATCCAACCATTTTTTTTTACCAGACCCATCAGAAGCTTCTGAGGGTTCAATAAATGCAGTTACTTGCCATCTCAAGCAAGATACAGAAGTTAGTGCCAATGTGGTGTTGGTTTTGCAGGTATTCAAAATCTAAGATTTCCTAAGCTATACAGTCTGCAACCAGGGTTCTGCAGATGCTGAGGAAGCCAAGCACTCTGAAATGACCAAGGAGATGGCAATTGCTCCTTAAGGCCAGGAGGATTCCTAGAGAGATGCTGGTCTTCAGTCTATATTTGAGCCCCAATAAAACAGATCCTAATATCAGTGAAGGAATGCAGCAGCCACAGAATGAATAAACCTGTTAGCAAGAAGGAAGCTAACACAACTTCTACACTCAAGTCTCTGTGAACATGATGGGAGCCAGGGCAGAAAGACTGGAAGAGCCAGAGGAATAGGAAGTCTGCTATATGATTTTGTCACCCAGTAATGAAAAGGAAGCTATACCCATGACATCTGAACTGTATGTCTATACCTAAACAAGACCTGAACAGAGTAGCTGTATGATAACTAAAGATTGTAGAGAGAGGGAGATTTTGTTTATCCTGGTGAAGGACTCCTAGGAGATAATTGGTTATGCAATGCAAAGTAGTCAGCCCTGAAATCACATAACACACAAACTTCACTACCTAGACTCAACAGGTTGTATTTATATATCTATACGTGTGTGTGTGTGTGTGTGTGTGTGTGTGTGTGTGTGTAATAATAATAATAACAAAGAAAAAGAAGTCATGAATTTGAGGGGTGGCCTGAGAGTGGTTGGAGTGAGAAAAGGGAAGAAAAGAGTTATGTTATATAGTAATTAAAAGAAAAAATTTAAAAGCCCTGTAGGATAGAGTTTTTTTTAATAAAAAAAAAAGAACAAGGAGGAGGAGGAGGGGGAAAAGGAAGGAAGGCAGCCAAAACTCAGGTTTTCTTCTTTCATGTTCTTTATTTCTGGGCTGCTGGCCACATTTAGGGTGGACTTCCCTCTTCCATTATTTCTGATTAAGAAATTCTGTCATAGAAATGCCAGAAGCTTGTACTTTAGTTGCTGCTAGACTCAGTCAAGACGCCATCGCACATGGCACTGTAGATTTTCCTGCAGGTCTTCTGAGGAAGGAATTTTGGCACTTAATGGAGTGTGGGATCTCTGGTGAACAGGAAAATAACTTGCCACCTGCAGTCTGTGATCCTGTGGGATTGTAATTGAATTGACATTTTCTTGCAAATCTGTAAGTAGTAGCTACAGTAGTGACTTTGTATTTCTTCTGTATTGGAAATGTTTTGATATTTTAAGAAAAGGACAATAGAAGCCAAGTGATAAAGAATAGCATCTGAGAGTCATTTCTCCAACTCAGTTACTACCATTCACTTTTACCTGTCCCAAACTGGGTTCTCTGAGAGGCTAGATTCTCCGGAATATGCAGTCTGGATGCCTTGCCTGTTCTGTATTCCAAATGGGAACACAGGCAGCTAGATGGTGGAGGCTTGTGATTAAGGGCAGATAGTTTCCTGAGAAAGTCTTTTCCTCCCTGAAGTTTTGCCTATAGTGTATTTCCTTTCAAACAAAGTAGTTCTTGGACTCCTTTGTTCTGTAGTTTTAGCTCTTTGTGGTTATAGTGGCATCCCTATATTCTCTTGCTTCATTAGCTCTGGGTAGAGAACAGTGTCCTGCCATTGCCAGTCTTAGAGGACTCCATCATCTAATTTGTTTCCCATACAGCATCATTCATTCCATTTCCTAGGCTCCCTATGCTTTTTTGTATGGTTCTTTCCTTGACTCTTTCAACTTAAAACTTTTGAATTTAAGAATGTCACAAATACTGGAAGTAAAAACAAAGTACGTAACTGAGTGCCAGGAATATGGGTCAGCATCGGAGTGTGTGAGGCATCCTCCAGCAAAGAATGAAAGAAGGAAAGGAAGGAAAGGAAGAGGGCAGAAGGAAAGATTGCTGTTCTGAACAAAAATAAGAGTCCTACTTGTTATCAAAATTTAAAACAAGAGTTTATAAATTTTTCCTTTTAAACTTCAAAAATGCAGTAAGTCCACGTGGAGAGCTGTTGGTTACCACCCGTGTGTGCATGGCCATGCCACTGAAGTACCCTGTTGGTGCTTGTTGTACCTCACAGGTGTCAGAGCTGAGTAGAACTGTTGGTTGTCTCCTCCCCTTGGAAGTTTGCATGGCACCTTCTAGTACCAAATTGTAAAAGAAAAAAAAGGCAAATAAAAAAAAGCAAGCAAAATCCAAAACAGTGAAGCAAAAGCATTTTTAGTATTTCTTCTGGGAAGAATCTTTAGCTATTTGCTGAAGAAGTAATGGTGCTATTTACCCTGTGATCTGGTACCGTAATTTGCTTTCCACTTCCTCATCCTTCTTTAAGATCAAATTTGTTGTTCACTGAAACATTTCTTGTGAGAGATTCTCCCCCAATGCAAGAGAAGTATGGTGACTCCCAGTGACATATGTGAGTGCCACCCTTTTTAATTACACTGAAGCAACTTCACAGTATGTTTGCCACGTTGCAGAATGCTATTAGGCCCTGCGTGATATGCAAGGAAGCATGAGGAAACAGCTTTGCAGGGGAGTTAAGATTGATAGACCAGGCCAGACTTGGTGATTAGGGGGATAAACTACGGCTCGTAACCTGTGCAGTACAGATAACAACTGCAACGTAATTTTCAGCATGAATGAATCAGTATGCTTTAGTGACAGAAAATTTCACTGTGAATGTGAGATTACAATGGGGGGCTCAAGCATGAGAGAAAATGGAAGTGCTTAGAAGAAAATGAGTTGATAAGAAAAAAACCCGAAGACCTGAATTTTATAGGCTATTCTTTGGTTTATCAGAACAACAACAAAACACCAGAACTAGAGGTGATATAAATAACCCCTACCATGTTATTGTTTTTCTTTCTTTATACCATATATAAACACGGTCAATTGTGACTTTGTATACGCCAACTTCAAAAGAGAACTTTGCAAAGTATTTGGCTTGAGGGAAATGGTTCACTGCAGAAAATGCTTGTTATAAGTGTGAGCACAGGAGCTGAGAGCCCACAGTCACTGCACACAAGTAAAACCCAGGCAAATCTGATAGCCCATCTGCAATTCCAGTACTTGGGAGGTGAGATTTCCCAGTGCAAGCCAGATACCCAGAGGAGCCTGACACAGTGAACCTGCTCCAGTGAGAGATACTGCCTCACTAAATAGAGTGGAAAACAGGAAGGCATTCTTTGTCAACCTGGGGCCTCTAAATTCATGCTAACACAACTATTCATTGCAGCCACATTTATGACACACACACACACACACATACACTTGTAAAAATATTTAAAATACCAAGTACTATAGAAAACATTTTCAAAGTTAAAATACCCATGGTTTAAACAGAATAATGAAACAATTTTTCAATGTCAAAATTCTAAAGTATAGTTTGTATGTTTGTTTTGGAGGGTGTTTTAGGATACATCAGTTATCATATAGCAAGTTGTTAAAACAAAACTATGAAAAAGAGTAGCAATAAGCTCTTGATGATCTTTTTGGATGGTGTGCTTTTATTATTTCAGTTAACTTTCACAAAATTCTGAGAAATTGGCAATAAAATAACATCTTCCATAAACAAACTGTAATAAACAAACTTAATAGTAATTTAATCACTATAGTAAATTATTAAATGTATATGTAAATGTGTACTTAATAATTATAGTAGATTGATTTCTTGTTTTTCTTTTTGAGATTACTATGTAATTAAAACATTTTCCCATTTCCTTACTTTCTCCAAGCCTTCACATATATACCTCACAATTCTTCAATTTTTTTATTAATTATCATCACATGACCATATATGTGTAGATATACTTATATATTCCTATATACAGCCTGCTTAGTCCATACAACATTACTAGTGTGTGTGGAAAGCCTACAAGCCCTCAACCCTACATAAAGAACTACATGCTACTAAGGAATGCTGAAGGAGGGAGAAAGAGTCTTCTCCAGGGACGAGTACACCAATTGGTTATCCAGTACCAAATGGTTAACAGTGAAATACACATATCACTAACATTATGCAGACTGAGCAGGTTCTGTATATATATGCATGTATGTGTGTATTTGTGCAAGCAATACTTTGAAATACATATATACATATATTCGTGTAATAACAATGAAAATGAGGACATGAACTTGAAAGAAAGCAAATAGGGAAATGCAGAAGAGTTTTGGGGGAAGATAAGAAATCATGTGATTACATTATGAACACAAAACTAAAAGAAAACACAGAAGTAATATTTGTCAAAGTGAGTTAGGAAAGAGTAACTGTTTAAATTTCAATGAATAACAATCAAGTACTTACAGTTTAATGACTTAACCTTATGCAAGGATAATCCCTCTTATGGTGGTTTTAAACAAATTGGCAGATACTATTATTAGATGTTGACATTTCCTTTATTGCAGTTGGAAAGGAGACTTGGGACTGATGTAAGCATCATGGAGCAATGCATCTGCATTTTGTAATGTAAACAGATAAAAATACTATTATAATTGAATTGGGAAAATCAAGACAGAACTGCACACAGTGATTCAAATACTCCAGTGAAGTATAAGTCAATTGGATGTCTCATTTATCACCCAAATCCAAAGTCTACAAGAATGAAAATATAAACGTTCTGGTTTTGTTGTGTTTTTAACTATTTTTTAAACAAGCAAAGGAACGCACTTGGATGTACATTTTCATTTCATCAGTCTCATCAAGGAATGTAATTCCAGACAAACCAGGAAAAAATTCAGTGAATAGCTGATAAATGGATGAATAAAATATTCATCTTCTGAGATCAGAAAATATGAATTAAAACCAGTGTGCTGTCCCTGCATGATTATCAGAAAGATGATGGTTTAAATGACTGTTCTTGAGGATATCAAACAAGGGAGGCACCTTTTTCATTCTAAGAAAATGTAGTTTTAGAAATAGTTCAACATTGTCTAATAGTGAATATATGCATTCCAAAAGGCAAATAACTTCACTTAACAGTGAAAAGTGATGTCTCTGACCACAGGGTTAGGACTGGAATTTATGGCATATAATTAGATGATTGATCTACAAAGCTTCCTGATTAGTTATACAATATACAATTACAAAGCATAACTTTAAGACTGGGGGTCAAGTAATGGATGGATGATGTTATTGACTGAGATGGTGAGGCCCACAGGTCCAGCAGGGAATACTTTTTGAATTTGCGATGCTGATTGGATATTATAGCCAAGATGTTCAGTGAACTCTTCTTGGGCAACAGGCTGAGCTGGGATTGGAAATCTAGAGTTATTGTATAGATGATTTTTACAGTTATACCACTGGCTTGGGCTATTGAAGTAAATGTAATTAGAAGGAATGCCTGATTATAATTATATTAACATTAACATTAAAATGTGACTGCACTATGAAAACAAAGAAACAAATTGATAAGAATGCATCCCAGGCCCTCCCGAACTGCCTTGGAGCTCATTCCTAGTACCTACAGATCCCTTCCACACTACGCTCCTTATGCTGGTTTTCCCCTGACATTCTCTATCCTAATAAATGTCTTCACCAATCTCCCTCACTCACCAGTTTCCCACCTGCTTTCCAGGAAACAACCAAAGTTTTCTGACCTGATGTTTTCAAGTTCTTGCCAGTTTCTACTTTATAACAGATAGCCATTTACAGTGCTTATGTGGGTCTCCATTATGGGAAAAAAAAAAACAAAAAAACAAAAACACCTATCCAAGTTGTGAGCATTCCCACATAATTATATAATGATACAATGGAAAAAGTAAATGAAAAATATAGAAGACAACAATATTTTGTTCAGAAACAAGACATAAGACTCAGTGCTTTCTTGAGATTAAAATGCTTAATTTTTACGGTGTAAGTTTGTCTGGATGAAGTCATGTAAATTTGTAACTAAAAAAGTAATAAGTGGAGCCACATTGTGTTTTCATGGGTATGTATATGGTGTGTGTGTGTGTGTGTGTGTGTGTGTGTGTGTGTGTAAGCATTCAAACGTGTGTCAGTGCACTTGTGGGGAATGTAGCCATGTATATAAGAACACATTTGTGTGGTACCTGAAGCTAATAAGAGTTTCCACTCCTTGCTCTTAGACTATTCATAAATGTGGGATCTCACAGTTGAATCCAGAGGTCCCTGATATTGCTGGTATAGCTAGACATGGGACCTTCTGTCTCCTGTTTCCCAGTTTCAAGAATTACAGGAGGGCTGACAGGCACACTGGCATTTACATTGGTCCTACAGATCCACCATTTCTGGTTTAGCTTGCTGCTAACATATCAAGGCTTTAAGTGCAGCTCCATCTCCCCCACTTTCTTAAGTCAGCAGTATAAACACATGGTATGAGAAGCAGTGACCCTTCCATTCCTTGCTTTGATTTTCTATTTTTCAATTTTGATTTTATTTTTCTATTCTACCATTATAATAGATATAATACATTTTCATCCTTTGGTGTGGAAAGGAAAACAGGATAAAGAAGCTAAATGGAGGAAAGAAATATAATATGTATTTACTAAACAAAGTCATGAGTAGGGCTAGATGACCAAAGAATTTTTATTGTCTTACACAAAGGCACCAATCTGGGATGGGCAGATTTTTGTATAAGTAGGAAGGGTGTATAGCAGTTAGGGCCCCAGTGGGAAGGGGATGGTATATTCAGTATTCAGTTGAAGATGATTCATTGATCTGACTATCAGTAGAAAAACGGGTAATACGCAGAGATAACAGGAAGTTATAAAGCTGGCATAAAGTAAATACTTAACAGAACGTTAAATTTAATGCATATTTTCAACTAAAAAATATCAATTACTAAAGTATGGCATTGGAGACATGGGACAAAAATACACAGGTATACATGCATATTAGACTAGTAGTTTAATAACCTATGTGATAATTTGCATTAATGGAAATTATCTCATCATGAGATAATGTTTGTTAATCCAGTGTTTGGTCATATTTCACTGAACACTAATAAAATCCATAGGCATGGTGCATAACTTAACTCTCCGTGTGGTTCTTCTTGCATCAAGGGGCAACTTGTATTGATCTTGGCATGGCAATAAAGTTAAGCAGAAAGAAATTGGGATGAAATTGCATTGGCCATGTAGTAGTCAAAAACTATGCAACAAAAATAGATGAAGAGTGCAGAGGTTCTGAATAAGACACAAAATCCTTTCTATATGCTATTACTAAGTAAGACATAAGGCTCATATCATTTCAGATGTGGAAAATGTCTCACACTATCCAGTTCACATACCAATGACACCTACTCCTGGAAGTTGGGTTATCAGGAGGATTCTGAAGAGGAGACACTCTGAAGTATGAACTTTTGTCTATTATTTACAACAGCTTGACTTAACCTTCAAGGCATAGTTTCTTTCTGACATTTACACTCCACATTAAGATTAAAAAACAGAGGCATGTAAATGTTGCTTACCCATTGTGGTTTGGTGCCACAGATTTTAAGATCTATTAAATGAGGATTTCAAGAATTCTTGGCATATGATTTAAGAAAATCCAAGTCATTTTTCTTGGGAAGCCCTTGAGCAGGTGAATTTTTACCAAACAGAGTGCTTATATATTACTGTTGTCTGTTATGATACTTAGAATTTTCAGAAAAAGCCATGTGGGACAGGAATACACATATTTACTTGGGATGAAATAATGCTTATCCATGAGAAATAGCATTTAAATATACTAAGATATTATGCAATTGGGAAATGTAAAGCTATGTTTTGCATTTTTGTCTTTGTCTTCTGGAATGAAATGCATATTGGTTGGTGGATGGTGCAGGATCTCAGAGAAAATGCACATATCTTAATCATCAGTGCAGCTTTGTGTTTGCATTAACTGTGCTGAAGGTAGTGTTTCTATGTTTCTCTTTAATACTCTAGATATGATATTGTTCAATATGATCAAGTAGGTTTGATGTTACAAACTTTTCTTATGTCTTTAAAGGAAGAATAGTTATTTTTTACTTTGTTTGCAGGGTAGAAAAGGTTGAGGAAGAAACTACGACCACTTTTTGAACTAACTGTAGTCTGTTGGTAATGATTTTATCTAACAGAAATCTTAACTTTAAAACTATGGTGTATTTTAGCAAAAAAAGTTATTTTCTGATACCCATAATTACTAACTGTGTGCCATTTTATCAGATCTGAGATATCAAATTTGGTTTGATATCTCAGGTACAATTATAAGATGAATTTAATAGGACCATAACTTGGTAAAAAGAAGATATTCTAAAAGTAGCCAGACAAAGCAGTTCTGGATTCCCTTTACAGCAAATCCACCTGAGTATTTGTCACCTCAGTGAAACACAAGTTTTATGACAGCGTTGGTATATGCTATTGAAATATTTTTGTTTGGCTACTAGAATGCTTAGTCCTGTATCCCTGAAACCTCTTATTTACCAAAACCCCTGCAATCTACTGATCTCTACATACATCTCCCTCACGGCTGAGCATGAGAGCTACAATAATTTTAGGGCATAGTTTCCCCCTCAGAAATCATTGTTTCACATGTTTATCTCGTCTTACAGCCTAGAAGTTTTCTGTTGATAGAACTCATGTCTACTTCATTAATTTCTCTGCCACAACTGCTGTAGCCAGAATTCTATGGACACCCTGTGCATATAGAAACTCCTTGTTTAGTCGATGAAGACTAAATACAGAGCCTAGCTTCTGCATGTCTTGTAACAAAAGCCATTTTGTTATAACATTTATATGTATTTTTCTTTTTCCTTTTCAAAAATTTCTAATAATTCAGACCTGTAGTTCTCATAATATGGCTGTACTAAAGGGAGCCTACATATCACCTACCAACTCATTGTAAGTCATAATTTTATAACACAGAATGACATGGCATATATAGAAGTATTGTCGATCAGTGAAAATGAAGCAAGATATATGGCCCAATAGAAATAAAAAAAGTTATAGTCATGTAATACATGTCCTATTCCTGGGTTTCTTTTCTGTCATCTTGTTTCAAATAAAACATCTCAGTATAGATAAGTTACCATGCTCGTATAAGAATATAATTTACTTTATACATGCAAGAAGGCATTGAGACACACTTTTTAGCCAATGTGCCAGGCTGCCATTATTTCATTTACATAGCCAGAAGACAGCCTTCTTCAGTGTGGAGCAAACAGACTTCATCATTCACTGCAATAAAAGTACAGTGAGGGTGACCATTTTCTCTGACTTGCAATATCCACAGCTTGATGCCAAAGGGGCCAAGAGCAACATTTATGACAGAAGAATAACCCAAACTCATCATAATGTCTGATGATGGCCTTGGATCAAAAGGACACATAATTTTTGGACAACTAGCAAATCTACCTTCAACCCCAGATGGAGGTGCTATTTCCACTTTCCAATGCTGATCACTCTAGAAATATTGCTAAACAAATTGTCCAGAGAACAAGCCATGCTTACCTCTTTTCAGAAGATATGCAAA